CACAACTTCAGTCATTTTCTGATCTTTCAAAGCTAGTAACGCCATAATTCTTGTAGTCTTCCTGCTTTTCCAGATGATACTGCAGCGTGAAATCATAATCCTCCATGTATTCCATCCATCTCCTTTGCTTAAGATTCAGATCCTTCTGAGTAAACAAGTACTTCAGACTCTTATGGTCAGAAAAGACCTGAAACCTTGCTCCATAGAGGTAGCATCTCTATATCTTCAGAGTAAATATCACCGCTGCTAGCTCCAAATCATGAGTGGGGTAATTCTGTTCATGTGGCTTCAATTGACGAGATGCATAGGCTATGATGCGTCCACCTTGCATCAAGATACAGCCAAGTCCACTCCCCGAGGCGTCAGAATACACCTCATATGGCTCTTTGCTATCGGGTATAGTCAATACTATGGCACTTGTCAGTCTGGTCTTTAATTCCTGAAAAGCATGTTCACACTTAGTGTCCCATTCGAATTGGACTTCTTTCTTGGTCAACTGAGTCATTGGTACATCAATACTCGAGAAGTCCTTTACGAAACGTCAATAATATCCGGCGAGTCTGAGGAAACTTCGAATCTCCGCCACATTCTTCGGCCTTTCCCACTGTAGCACAATCTCGATTTTGGAATGATCTACAGAAATTACTTATCCTGATATCACATGACCAAGGAACTTCACTTCTGTCAACAAGAAGTCACACTTCTCATTTTTCGCATACAATTGATGTTCACGAAGAGTCTGAAGAACAATTCTCAGATGCTGCTTATGTTCTTCCCAAGTCTTCGAATAGACCAGAATGTCGTCGATGAAGACAATCACAAATTGATCTAGGTACGGCCGAAAGACCCGATTCATTAGATCCATGAACGCAGCTGGAGCATTCGTCAGCCCAAAAGGCATTACCAGAAACTCGAAATGTCCATACCTAGTTCTAAAAGTAGTTTTCAGAATGTCTTCCTCTTTTATTTTAAGTTGATGGTACCCAGACCTCAAGTCAATCTTAGAGTAATATTGTGATCCACCCAACTGATCGAATAACTCATCGATCCTCGGCAGTGGGTATTTATTCTTCACAGTTGCATTATTCAATTGATGATAGTCAATGCATAACCGGAGTGATCCGCCGTGCTTCTTCACAAACAATACAGGTGCACCCCAAGGGGAAGTGATATTCTTTATATACCCTTTTTCCGCTAGCTCCCCAAGCTATTTCCTTAATTCTTTCTTTTATGCAGGTGCCATTTGGTAAGGAGGAATAGAAATAGGAAATGTTTCTGGAATCAAGTCAATGACGAATTCAATCTCCCGATCCGGCGGTAACTCGTCCGGAAATACATCCGCGAATTCGTCCACCACAGGAATTTCCACATCAATTCCAATTACAGTAGGGTCACCTTCTAAGGCAAGAAGGAAGTAAAAGCATGCTAGGTTTCTCCGTCCCCCAACGCTATATCGCAACAGTCGTTATTCCAGGACTGAGTTCATGTCCGCTTGATAGGTAATTACCGCTCCGAACTTAGTCATTTGGGTCATTCTCCTACGGTAGTAATCAACAATCGCACCGTATCTTACTAACCAATCCATTCTGAGTACCACGTCAAATAGACTCATCGGAAGGATTATCAGGTCAGCTCTCAATAGCTCACCCCCAATCGTGATTTCACACGATCTACACATTCTAAGTACCTCCACACATCCCAGTGGGGAGTTCAACATCATTGGGGTTTCTAAACTCTCAGCTTTCAGTTTTAAAGTTTGGACAAAAGAGCCGGATATAAAAGAATGAGTAGCACCGGTATCACACAACATATGTGCTAAATAATGGGATATTAGAATCATATCCTCAACTACCGTGTTGCTGGCCTGTCCTTCAGAACTACCTCTTGTCAGGGTATAAGCTTGTCATTATGCTTTTTTCTTTCCTTTATGACCAATGTTAGGTCGTTGTGTCCCTGGCCTATATTGTTGTGGCTGAGAAATCTGTACAGGTCCCGACGCTTGAGGTCGAAACTATGGATATTGAGGCGGATGGTAGGTTGGCACATGAGGGTATGGCATCGGCAGTTGTGGCTGATAAGGCGGCACAAACTGTGGTGGTCTTCCTTGACCGTAAGAAGCCTCACTCTGAGATTGCTGAGTCGGCGGCTGATTCAGATTTGGACAGTTTCTCCTAATGTGGCTAACTTGCCCACAATAATGGCACTTAGGTTTATAAGAACCACTTCTGTCACTTCCAGAGGAACTACTGCCACTAATCATTTCTCCACTAATCTATCCCTGATTGCGGTTTCTTCTACGACTCCACTGTGGCCCGCCTGAAGTAGAAGGTCCACTAGAAGCAGAAACTCGACCAGCTGCTTCCTTGCTCTCCTGATAGGCTAAGTTATCATGTTCCACGCTTGTAGTAGCAGTCACCAGGTCTCAAAAATTTTGAATTCTTAGAGCCACCAAGGGCCTCCTGACAGAATTCTTAAGACCCTTCTCGAATTTAAGACACCTTAGGTGTTCGGACTCCACCAGAGATAGCGTAAACCGGGATAGATCGTTGAATTTAGCCTCATATTCCCTCATGGACATGTCGCCATGTAGCAAAGACATAAACTCCAATGCCTTTTCATCCCTATAGCTCTGAGGGAAGTATTACTCATTAAAAATAGTTTCAAATTGTTCTCAAGTCATTCCTGCAACATCAAGCCTTCTCCTTACCTACTTCCACCAATTACTCGCTTGGCCTTCCATCTTATACACCGCGAATTCTATCAAGTATTTTTCGACACTCCTATAGTATTCAAGTGCTTAACTATGGAGTCAAACTAATATTTCGCTTCCTGGGGTCCTCCCTCACTATTGAATATGGGGATAGGTGCGCGTCTAAACTCACGGAAGTAACTTTGCTTCCTATCCTCGGCCAGTCGCTCATTCTGAACTCGAGTGGCCATGCCTTGGAAAGCAACATACATGGCATCCGTGAACTCTTGATTCTATGGTGCCGGTTGGTTAACGGATCTACGACGCGGCACCATCTTCTTTAACTGAAAAGAAACTAGACTGTTTAGTGAATTCTTGAAGTCACACATGTATGTACAATCCTGTGAATTCTAAATCTAGGTCTCTGATACCACTCTGTCACGTCCCGAAGCCGAGGTCGGTGACGTGGAGGCTCGATTAGGGGTTAAACGTGATTGAGAATAAAACATTAAGAAAATTTTCAAATGAGCCCCACATTTCGCTGAAAATAAATTCTAACATCGTTCAGGGCTTCACCCACAGGATATGTAGCATTGTACATACGTGAACATATAATTAACATTACAGACATTAACCACAGTCTAGAAATTCAAAGATCAGAGTTTACAGAAGTTACATTTCTTACATTTACTCGCAAGGAGGAAGAACACATTCCTCTTCTAATCGGACGGTAGCAATCTAACTCAGCTACTCCGTACTGCTCCTAGAGTCGCCTGGGAGGGGTAAATATTTATAAAATAATAAAACGTGAGCGAAAAGCTCAGTAGGATATATTTTGAAATAATTATGTAAATAAGTAAATAAACAAATAAATGAATAAATAAGACATTTAGTTCCAACACAACAGCCGGAACCTCACATCCTTTTTCTCAAAGGAAATATAACTAAAAATCTCCGTATTACAGGCATTAGCAAGTAATTTATACTATGATAAATTACTTACACAACCACATGCACAAACCATATCACCCCAGGCCGGGTTTCGGGTCCTGCCCCCAAGGATGCACTCTCCACATCCTATCAAGGCCATCAGCCGGTTTAACGATTTGTAAGATCTCTTGTAAGAAAAATATTTTAACCCCCACCAAAACTACAACAAGTCATGGGGGTTAAAATGTTTTTCTTTCGCAAAAATTCTATTTCTTTAAAACATTTGCAATGCCAAAACTGTCATGATCGAGAAATTTATCAGAATTATTGTATAGGATAATATTTTCTAGAATCCTTTGTATCATTAATATAAATACTTTTATGATAAATATTTGTTGATATAAGTATGGAATAGGAAGTTATAAGCTAAAGTTCAAAAATTTTTGAACTACGAGCAGTTACCAATTTTTAAATTGTATTTAAGAAAGAAGTATGGAATGTTATGTTAAGTCCACAAGTGCAATGTTATGTATACAGTGAAGCAACATAAATTAAGAACACTCACTTTGTATGTGACGTTGGTACAACTTCTGGGGTGGTCTCTACGTTCCACTAAAGAGGAAAAAATTTCAACGTGTATTACACTAAAGTTGTATTGAGACGAAGTTATTTTTCGTTATTAAAGAAGTTACTTTCACAAATACTTTGGCCATTAGGTAGCCGTCACAGTATTGACAAGGAGGAAAAAGAAAGTACACATATTTCTTCATCTATTCAGCATTCACCCATGCACAACGGGTCTGTGTATATTAATTTATGAATATTTATATAGATGTGTATAATGCGAACATGCAAAATTCATGAATTGATGCGCCTAAGTACTCGTAACCCCATATATATTATGATCTAACACATGTTCACTACGTCAGAAAGTATGTGTTTCTAGTATTAGAATCCAACCTAAGCTTTAAGATACTCGAGATTTTCATGTAATAACCTAAAAGCCTATATAATAGATTGCACAAGAAGTCAAGAATGACGCATAAATCAAGTGTCACGTTGGAATTTTGAGATGCCAAGTAGTTGGGACTTGAAAAGGGAAATAAACTATTTAAATAAGAGCATGTTCATGAACCTCCTTTTACAAAAGATTACAGAGTGCTTATTTTAATTTGACAAAATAATTATCAAATTAATATGGTAAAGTCTCAAATAGATTCACCCAGTCCAATTTATTAATCATTCTAACATGTACTAAAAAATTAAACTCCTTAAAAGGTAATAAGTTATTATGGTGAATAACAGAAATCGAGATTTGGAGAATGAATGCTTCACCAAGCTTCTAGAGCTGATCCACCCAGATAAAAATTAGATTGCTTCAAGTTTTGATTTTACTCAAAATCTACATAATTAGGTCTTCTAAGTATTCATATTTGGAGACAAATATAAATAGATGTGTTACAATTTTAAATAGTTTAATAATCTTTAACTTCCCACATTGCCACAAAAGTTTGTATGTTTATTGCAGTGACAGTCATTTCATTATAATACCTTCACTTTGCGGTTCTTCTTTTCTCGCTGAATCTCTACAGTTGTGATTACAAATGATGTTGCTTCTATCTTGAAGAACGATGGATCATTATCACATGCTCCTGCTCCCACAACATCGAAACTATTAGAAACCAATAGGGATGCTAAGACTTCCCAAAGTTGCAAAGTCAATTGTTTCAGTCAGATCTTCAAATCAACATAACTTGAGTAAAAACACTAATGTAAGTACAGTACTTGTACAAAAGGAATAACCGCGGTGGGCCCTGGGCCTCCTCATTAGAGTCCATTACAAAGCGAGGCAAGTCTCCACAGGCAATTAGATTTTGTTCATAACGCAAATTGGGATGCCAATCAACACCTATAGTTGAATAATGTGGGTCATGTAATGCAATTAGACATTGAAATCTTTGCACATAGTAACCTTTTTTAAGTTGTATAAGCAAAATCAATAGAAACTTTCCAAGACCAAAACATCATGAACTATGTACACAAAATGTTAGACTAGCTTCCTGGTGCAGTAAATAACTGAAATTTCATACATTTACCAATCTTTTTCTAATATATATTTTACAAATTTGCCTTATCCAATGAAAAATGCCAAATGCTAAAATGATCATATAAGATTTAATCTCTTCATGCTAACTATCACAAAACAGTTTACAATTACTATATTTGATCATCAGCTTAGAACAATAATTACTTGGAGTAAAAGAGATTATTCTTCTATTATTTTTTTCATTAGACTATGTGCTAGAAATGCCGTTTGTACCTCCATGCATTCTTAGGCTCCCAAAAGTCGGCTTCTTATTTATAGAAAAGATAAAAAGAAGACCTCCAAAATAACTATAAAACTATCTCAAAGAGACTATTCTAGGCCTAAAATTATGGTCCAAGACATGTGTTGTAACATAGAAAATGAAAATGAAAAAAAAATCAGAATTGCATCTGTTTCATCACTATTAGTAGTACATCAACAGTGTAAATACTACGCTAAGATAAACCACTCAGCCCCATAATTTATCACAAAATATCAATAGCCGTTTTAACTATCCATATATAAACGAAACATGCACCATATAATCTAACCGGCATTGCAGAAAAATGAAGATTAGTTTGTGACAAGAGTGTCTTCTCAATGGGAGGAAATTCTGTTTCAGAAAAATGAAGATTAGTTTGTGACAAGAGTGCCTTCACAATGGGAGGAAATTCTGCTTCCAGTTGTTGAACGCGAGCCATTAGACCATGTCCTCTTTGTAGCAGTCGCCATCACTTCTCCATGCAAGTCATGGAATATTTCTGCAGCAAACCTATAGACGCCACAAATGATATGGATAGAAAATCTAAAAATGAGAAATCAAACATAAAAGCTTGTGCGAAACAAGTGTGTATCTATTGTTTTTATTTAAGTTGAGAACCAATTGTCATTGTTTTTCCTTTCATAACGTGGGCAAGACGTTTGTGGTTGTAACATTAGAGGACCTTGTTGCCAATTTTGCCAGTAAATAATTCGATTTGCAAAATTAAACATTCAAGATTGCAAAAGCCAATCGGAATAAATAAAAAAAGTAAACTAAAGAAATCTAATTAAAACAAACACAATCAAATAACACCACTGACAAGACTAAATACCAATACAATCAGCGTTTATGATGTCTGCAGACGATATTCCAGCCTCAATGAGAAGTTGAAGAGCTTGATTCCCATTTGCGTCATATGAAGAGGAGAGATAAAAGAAATCTAACGTGGCTAAAAATAAAACTACAAACAATTCCACAAAGAAAATCCGAAATGTTGAGTTTGAAACTCAATAAGGAAGCTTTTAAATAATGTTTCCATGACTCGAATCCTAAGAACACATTTTACTTAAGGAGCAGTAGCATAATATTTGAATACAGAAAATATTTGAATACAGAAAAGAATATACATCAATCGCCTACATTTATATTCAATGTATATAAATTGACATAAACAAGTGAAAAAATTAAAAAATAATCACCCATTAAAGAATGAGAAACAGTTGTTCGACCAAAAAGGGAGAAACAGAGGATGAGAAAGTGTTTCTGTGATCCGTTGTTTTTAGCACAACGAATGGTTCTTTGACCCAGACATCAATGAAGTAATTACAAAATTTTAAGTTTTATTTTCATTAATATTATGATGTTTTTTCATTTCCTCGTCACTGAAGCTGAAATAGTAATGGTAAACACAAATATAAAGAAAAACTGTGGGAAATTCTCATACCTGAGCAAGACAACAAGGAACAAGGTCTCAAGCAACAAATTAGAGAAGATCAACTGCTTAGAGATACCTTGAAGAAACTCCATTCCCTAGAAACTAAACTCTTCAAATTCAATCAAAGCCCAGAACTACTCTTTTCTAATTTTCTTTAGGTTTTACCTATTCTACAACTAAACAAAGGTTCAGAAGAAACCACATAAACTAATACATAAAAGATAGGAATTTTCAGGTACCTGAACCCATAACAAACATATTCAAATAAAAAGTTGAAGAAACCACATAAACTAACTCATATAAAATAGGAGAAAAAAGCAATTACATGAAAACCATCAAAACCCACATATCAAAGAAGATAGAAAAGGAGGGTACCCACTACTTGGCTTGGATGGTGAACGAGATGATTTCGTTTCTCTTCCTCTCTTTTTTCCTTTTTCCGGGTATTGGGTGGTGGGCTTGTGTTCTCGTGTCTCTTGAAAGCTCACCAGAAATGAAAACAAGTGAGAAATTTTCGGAGGAATGAGAGTTGCAGAGAGAGAGAGATAAGAGCGAAAGGCAGAAGGGAAACAAATGAAAAGGAAGAGGAGAAAGATGCGAGCTCGACGAGAGAGATGGGTGCAAAAAGACTTTGAGGAGAAAAAAATGAAGCGACAAATTAGAAAGACGAAGGGCACGTTGTTTTGGAGTTTAATTTGAGTATAATTTTTGAGTTAAATTTGAATTATAATTTGAGTTAAAGTTATAACTTGAGTTTTTGTTTGGTTGTGTACATTTGAGTTATGATTTAAGATAAGAATCTTTTTGAGTTTGTGTTTAAGTGAGTCAAAACTTGAATTTGTATTTAGATAGTATTTTAATAAAAACTCAATACTGATGGAAAATTTTAATAGGGTATATGAATAGGGTTTTATTTGTCTTTTCGTTGTCAACGCATAGAAAAAAAATCATCTCAATTAGAATTAAAACGAAAAAGTTATAGCATTTTTAAGAGTAGAAAAAACATTGTTCATTAATTTGAGTTCGAGTTTCTGAACTTGAATTGTAG